TCTGTCCCCTTCCATCCCCGGAATACAAGCACCCGCAGGACAAGGGGCTGTGTCCCTGGGGCCCCATCACTGAGCACGGCGCCTTGCCACTTGGCCAGCACTTAACACTCATTCGTTCATTCACTGGTGCATCCATCAGCAATCATCTCTCCTGAGGCCTCCTCTGGGTCAGGCCCTGCACAGGGTGGCCTGGGGACCAGGGCGGGGTTACACGCCAGACCTACACTGCGGGGACTGGGGGAGCCGTCACCAAGGAGCCACCAAGTCGAGTCCGAGTCGCAGCGCCCAGGTGACAGGGCAGAGTGGCCCCATAGGGCTTTCCAGGCCATGACCTTTACGGGACAGACCACCAGGTCCTTTCTCCACCAGCCGCTGGGCGGGCTCGAACCACTGGCTACTGGGCGGGTTCGAACCACCATCTTTCCTTGCCCCACCAGGGCTCCTTCCCATGAAGGGCACGGTCACAGTTTGGAACAGGATGTCCCTGACCATTCATACAGGCAGCCTGCCGGAGTTGGCCTTGCCCTGGAGGAGCTGGGGCCCCAGATAGCAGGCAGCTCTCTTCAGATAAAGAAGCCGCCCCAGGCTGGGCCTGGCTGGCTGCTCCACTCCTTATCTGCAGAATGTGGCCTTCCTTGGCCTCCTCCTCAAAGCCTGCCCTTCACCGCCTTCCAGACCCTTCCCGCCTGAGCCACAGGGTACCCGTCAGGTCCTCCCCCTGCACCTCTGAGTACCATCTTCCTCTGCCCTCCTTCCTCACCCCTGCTTGAAGCCCAAACACCACCTGGCCTCTGCCCCATTTCCCCGTCTCTTTGCACCAACCACACTGGCCCCAGGCCCTTTGCACGTGCTGCTCCCGCGACTTCCTTACTCTTCCCACCCCCCCAGTCAGCTGACTCCGCCATCCTGCCTCTTGCAGCTCTGACAGTCACTGCTGAAGTGGGGCCTGCCCTGAGCTCCCCGACCTGGCAGGCACCCCCTTCTCTCAGCACTGTGGTCCTGTCTCCCATGAAGTTTAGGGCAGCCGCAATTTTTTTCTAACTTAAAAAAAAAAAAAAAAAAGCTGAGACACAATTCACATGCCATAAAATCCACTGATTTAAAATGTATAATTCAGTAGTTTTCACCACTATCTAACTCCAGAGCATTTCAACACCCCAAACAGAAGCCTCACCCCAGACACCAGTCCTCCCCCCGCCCCACGGCTTTTGTTTCACCCCGGTGGCCATGGACATGACTCCAACTTGCGTTGTCAGAGAAGAACGGTGCTCATCGTGTGTGTGTGCGTGCGCGCGCACGCGTGTGTGTAGTGAAACTATCCGTAGGGTTTTCAATGGCTGATGACTTAGTAGGTCACCAGGCCTTTTCTTCAGAGGCCCCTGAGTGGAGCTTAGCAGCCAGGGGTTAACGATCTGTGCCACACATGGAGTCCCTCTCGCTCCAACAGCAACAATAAAACACCAAACCCGCGGCCCCGCCGTTGATCCCAATTTCTAGCGACCCTACAGGACGGAGGAGAACTTCCCTACAGGGTTTCCAAAGCTACAACTGTTACAGAAGCAGACTGCCTCATCTTTCTCCTCCGAGCGGCTGGTGGGTTCCAACCGCCACCTGCACCTTGCGGTTCACAGCTGAGTGGTAACCGCTATGGCCCCAGGCCGCCTCCTCCCACCCCTAGGCAACCGCTAATTGCGTTTCTGTCTCCAAGAGTTCTGGGCATTTCGTGTAAGGGGATCACACACTGTAGGGCCTCGCTCTGCCTGCTCTCAAGGCTCATCCCTAACGGTGCTGGACCAGAACGGGGTACGCGCCTCTGTACGGACGCCCCGTTCCCTTCAACCACTCATCTGTTCAGGGACATCTGGGCTGTTTCCACTCGTGGCGACCTCTGTGAACATTCAAGTACAAGTTCAGGCCACGTCGGAGGCAATCTTTGGGCTGCTCCATGGGGCTGTAAGTGTCGGGGGACACAGACACAAGCTCGTCCCCCGAGCCCCTCGTGGGGCCTGAAATGGAGCAGGCCGGTCCACAGAGAATGGCTGAGGGAAGGCGCAAACGACGAGCACTCGGCTAACTGAAAGGCCTAAAATCCCCGTGGGGCCCAGGTCTACTCCAACACACGTCGGGGACCAATGGCTGGAATCGACTTGACAGCAACTGCTGTGGGTTTTTGTTTTGTTTTGAAAGGAGGGACAAGAGCAACCCCTGAGTCTCTAGCCCCAGTTTCTCTGGCTGAATCCACTCCTCTGGCCCCCAGACCCGAGTCGCTCCTGCTCCCCACTGCGCCCCCTCCTTCCTCTATGGTCCTGTCAGGCCACCACCTGTTTCTGAAAATTTACCCCAAATCCAACCCCGTCTGTCTCACCATTCCCTCCTCACCCCCGTCCCGGCCACCCCCACACCTCTTGCCCGGATGCCGGCAGCTGCCTTCTAATTGGTCTCCCGCCTTCTGCCCCTACCTCCTGACTCTGCTCTTTCCCCGGCAGCCAGACGAGTTATTTTAAAACATAAATCAGATCACGTCCCTGTGTTCAAAACCTTCACTCCGAGCAAGGCCAGAGAATCCTCACCTGTCAAAAACCCACTGTCATCGATTTCACTCTGACGCACAGTGACCCTGCAGGACAGAGTACAACTGCCCCCAAGGCTGTCATCTATATAGGAACAGACTGCCTTGTTTTTCCCCCACGCAGCGGCTGCTGGGTTCGAACCACTGACCTTTCAGTTAGCAGCAGAGTGTTGAACCACCACCACCAGGGCTCCTCAAGAGTCCTCCTGCTCTGCCCTCATCTCCTGCCCACTCCCCTTCCAGTCCCTTGGCTCCAGTCCCATCAGCCTCCTTGCTCACATTCAAATACATAGCAACTGTGAGCCGACCTCAGGACCTTTGCACGCACCACCATCCCGCCTTCTCCTTTCAAATCCACAGACCGCAGACCAGCTCCCTCTCTTTGCTCAAGCTTCCACGCAAATGTCACCTCCTCAGTGTGGCCTTTGCTGACCCCTCCAGACCTCGATCACTCTCCACCCTCTTTCCCGCCTGGCTTTTCCGCGTCGCGTCAAGCTTCGCTGGATGCTGCTTTCTGTCCTGGAGCAGAGGCTCCCAGAGGCAGGGATTCCTGGTCCTGTTGCAGCCCCAGTGCCTAGGACAATGCCTGGGACATTGCAGTGGTCAAAAGGCATTTGTCAAATGAATGAATGAACCTTAACGGCTGTTACTAGGGCTGTCTGCAGCCAGGGAAACACAGCCACAAAGGTAACTGGCTTCCCAGGCGCTCCCCTGGGCTGGCGGTATCAGGGGTGATGCACGCCCCCTCCCACCAGCTGGCCCCCCCACCAGGACTCTTCATGTTGTTCTGTTGTTAGTTGCTGTTGATTCTGACTCATAGCACCCAGTGGGTGTCAGAGTTGTTCAGCCCCCCACAGGGCTTTCAAGGCTGTGACTTTTCAGAAGGAGATCATTAGGCGTTTCTTCCAAGGCGCCTCTGGGAAGGTTTGAACCACCAGCCTTTCGGCTAATGGTACAGCACTTCCCATCTCCATGACAACGATACCCCGATCTCTCCATCAAACAATACCCAGCAGGGGCCATTCCTCCTGTCCACTGAGCACCCGCTATGGGCCAGACCTTCCGATACCCACAAAACTCAAACCACCCATCACTGGGCACTGACCAGGAACCTCTCCTCAGATCCCACATAATAACAAGAGCCAAGAGCCAGCAGCACTGGCCACGTGGGAAAGGCCTCACTCAACACACACAACAGCCTCCCCAGGAAGGTATGACCAGCACACCCACCCGACAGAGAAGGAAACAGAGATGACGCCCCTCAGTCAAGGTCACACAGCCGGGGGCTGGGGGGTTGTTGCTCAAACTCAAAGCCAGGCCTGGCTGACCCCAAAGCCCCTGCAGACGTAGTCTTGGCGGCTCAAACACCAACGCCACCAGCTCCCAGTAGTTGCCAGCTGACTTGGCATCAGGCCTCTCATCATCACGACAACCCTGCACATTCCGGCTCAATGACCACGTTTTACATTCAGACAGGGGAGGGCCGGGCGGAAGCCCTGACCCCTGACCTCTCTCTGAGCCTGACTAACCCACAGTTCTCCAGATCTCTTACCACAAACTCCTTAGGGCCCTTTCTTTAGCTCTGGCTACCCCTTGGAGCAGATCCCCGAAGCCCCACCCCACTCTGGAAGCTCCTCTCCCATCCAGGCCCCCCGCCCGGACTCCCAACCCCTCCACCCCAGCAGTCCTTCTGGGCCCCTCACCTCTGCTCCGTGGAACCCCCTTTTCCCTCAATGACCCCTGGACCCCCTCCCCACTGCTCTCCATGTCTCCCAAGCAATCCCCCATTCTGGAGCCTTCTGCTCCTTATCAGGGTCCATCTATAGTGTCCCCCATGTCTCCTTCCCAACCCTCTGTGTCTTCCTGTCACTCAGGCCCCCTCTAGGCCACTAGCAACGAGGCTCAAGGGCCTTACAGCCCCTTCCCCTGCATGACACCCCTCTCCCAGGCCCTCGGACCCTGCTCCGTTGGGCTTCCAAGGTGTCGCATCCCCGGGGTCCCCTCGGGCCTCTTCCCACTCCCATCGCTCCATACGGGGTCCCCCTCCCCGCAACTCCTTTTCTGTCTACATCAGGGGTCCCTCCAACCTCATGGCTTGTTCGAGACCCTAACATTCCCAGGGTACATCTTTATGTCCTTATCCCCGGGACCTCACCAGCCTCCTCCCTTCGAAGACCCTCCCGGACCTCTCCAGCACTCCGTGTCGTCACCTCAAGACGGAGTCTATGACATCCCAAGCCCCTCCACTGCTTCCACCCTGAAGTTGTCCCCGTGGCCTCTCCACCCCCCAGGCCCCTCTACGACCCTCGAGTCCCTCAATTCCACGGTTCCCCCAGCCAGTGTCCCCTCGGCCGCGCGCTCACAGTTCCGGATGTCCGAGATGAACACCGCGAGCCCCCGCATCCCATCGCCCTTGGACACGGCCGGCATGATGGCGGTGATGTCGGCTCCAGGCCTGGCCGGACGGGACACAACGCAGCGGGGGCTGACAGGCGGGGACCGGGCGGAAAGGACCCCAGGCAGCGCCGAGGAGCTGAGTCGGGCCTGGGAGATGGGGGGGCGGGCTGGCGGGCAGGCAGGCGGGCTGGCAGGCCGCGGCACCGCCCCCTGGTCCCACCCCTCGGTTCGACTGCCCTGAGTTCTCAGATCTCTATTGGCTCCGGCTACTGCCCCTCAAACTCGGGTCCACCCACACTACCTCTCCTGTTGGTCGTAGGCCAAAGTTGGACCACTACGATTGGTCCAGTCCCCCGCTATTTCCGTTCGGGAGCGGAGGAGGGGGTGTTACCCGACAGAAGGGAGGAGTTCGATTACGCACTACGGGACCGCCCCCTCCGCGCCTCGGAATCTGACTCTGATTGGATCCGGCCCCTCTCCAAAACGGGAGGGTAGGACGTAAAGGAAGGCGGGGGAGCGGGAATGAGGAGGCGGGACTTGTGTTAACTGGATCCAGTGGAAAGAAAGAACACCCCCACAGGCGTCGTGGATTTGCGGAACCTGTCCTACTTCCGCCCTCGATTGGGCGGTTGTGGAGGCGGACGGAGGATTGTAATTGATAGAGAGGGAGAAGGAGCGTGGGGGTGTCTCAGCTGGTCTGGGATAGGTGGAGCGACGCCTGCAATTCCCTGCTGCAGAGAAGGGGTTGGGAGGGGCAAGAGGGGGATAGATATTTACTGCGCAAGCGTCACCCTGATCCGTTTCTCCCGCTGCCCCCCCTTAAATCTTCTTCCAGGAAGCCTCCCTTCCCTTTACCCCCCTCTCCTCTACAAGTGGCCAAATTGTTAAAACTTGGTTTTGTCAGGAGATGTAGAATCCCAGAAGTGAGAAATTGTAATCCTAATCTAGTCCCATCAAACAGAGGTTAAAATTGAAGAGCAGAGAGGTTGAGCGACTTGCCCAAGGTCACACAGCTCGGCAGTTGCGGAGGAGGAATTAAACCCTATGTTGGTCTTTATCCACTTTTTAATAGGTGTAGTTTTGTTGTCTAACCGTAATGCCTCAGGCAGACTCCAGTAGAGCAGATATCATCAAATTTGTGATTATCTCCACCCAAATTGGAGCTCCTCCGGGGAAGAGTAGAACCTGGTACTGACAGTTTGTTGAAGAAAGGGGTGGGTGAGTGATTGCTCTGGCCTGGCTTCCCCTGGGCGCCTCAGAGACCCTCTTTGGTTGACTGACTTTGGGGAAGGCAAAGTCTCTAGCTTGCCAACGCCTCAGGCTGTTGAGAAATTTGGGTCAAAGGTAACCGGAGGAATCCATTTCCTTCGAGCACAAAACCCCATCCCACCAGCCGCGTCCTCGCCTAATCTCTGAAGACAAGTATTCCTGGAATGAGCCTTCAGGGAGTGTCCTGGATCCTGGGAATGTCTGCTCCCAATCCTAGGGAATGGAGAGGCAATGGCGACGAGAGCCCCCTCCCAGGTTCAATGGACCCGTCCAATTGCGTTTCCAGGCATGGGGCTTGGGGAGGTCCATTCTGGATTCCAGGGA